TGGGGGAGGGACATACAAAGCAACAAAGAAATCATCTTATAAATATGTTAGAAACAATTGCATGAAAGCAAAAACATTTGAATACTTATCTTGGGGTTCATTTCACCTAACATCAACTTATCTGACCTTTTCTGCTTGTCTCAGACATATGCTAGTTATTGCAAATAAGGGAAACCATGGATACAGGTGGACCCATTGCAACAATGAGATGTACAAGTCGTTATGTCAAAAAACGAACTTTACAACTTGGGCAGGGGAAGGGGGGAGATGGGAAGGGATGGGAAGGAGAAACAAAGGAGGAGGCTACAATGCTTGATAAGAAATGTACTCATTATCTTGCCCATGTAATTGTAACCCCTCTGTATGATATTTTCACAATTTAAAAAAAAGGTGAAAAAAATTATATTTATTTTTAATTGTAAAGGTGATTACAGAAGGGTTACAGTTACATAAGTTAGGTAATAAATACATTTCTTTTTGAACAGTGTCATCTCTTCCCTCACTCTCTCCCAGTTTTCCCTACCAACCTCACTCCCCCACAAGTTATATAGTTCATCCTCAACATAGTGTCTAGTGAGTATCACTACTGCATTTGTTCACCCTTTGTCCCACCATTTCTGTGCTCTTTTTTATCTGTCCTCCCCCAGATAAACTTATATAGAAGACAAGAGGTACAGAAATAAAAAAACAGTGACAGAGGACAGAAAAAAAAACAAACTAAAACTTGCTCAGTTTTGTTTGCAGTTAATGCACCAATTGTGCTCACTTTCTGGTTTTGATATTGAACTGCAGCTATATAACGTATTAAGAGATGCTAGGTGACACATACAGGGCTTTATTTGTAGTACTTTTGCAACTTCCTGTAAGTTTGCAATTCTTTCAAAATAAAAAAGAATTTAAAATTTTTAAAGGTTATTTTTTTTTCGGTCATGGAGGCTGAACTCTGGGCCTGGGCGCTGTCCCCGAGCTCTTCAGCTCAAGCACCCTACCACTTGAGCCACAGCACCACTTCTGGCTTTTTTCTGTTTATGTGGTACTGAGGAATCGAACCCAGGACCTCATGCATGTGAGGCAAGCACTCCAGCAAGGAGCCAACTTTCCAGCCCCCTTAAAGGCTATTTTTTTAAAATAGTTTTGGTGTTTGAACTCAAGGCCTCATGCTTGCTAGGCTGATGTGATACCACTGAAACATGTCTCCAGCCTTCTTTTTCACCAGCTAATTTTAGGGTAGAGTCTTAATTTCTGTTCAGTGTGCACTTGAACCAAAGTTTGCTTACTTTTTGGGTTCCTGTCATTGCTAGGATCATAGGCTGTGTCACCTAATCCAGCTTCCTTTGAATCTCATGAACTTTTCAGCCTAGGCAGTGTGTTCTTTTCCATCTCAGCCTCCCATATGGCTTGGGATGGCAGATGTGCTATATGTTAAGAAGATATCTGGAGAAGTTACCTGCCCTGACTGTCCTCCAGCAACAATCTTCCTGTTCTCAAGTAGCTTTGACTCAATTAAGTGGGATGGGTTTAGTCTAGTTCTGCTGAAGATAAAATATTAGGGAAAACTAGTATTTTCTACTTCTCATTCCCAACCTATCACAAGACCAGTGAAATCTCACATATGTAGTAGTGAGAACATCTATACCTAAAATAAGCCAATCCTATTTTATTAATGTATCTCTTTTAAAATATGTGTATTTTGTTCCTTTTTAAAGTTACTTCTATGGGGAAACTGACAGTATTCAGTTATAATTAGAGGTACTGCCATGTTCTTAGCACTGTGCTAACTATGGTTTCTCTGCCAGTAACAACACAGGACAGATGATGTTCATATGTTCTACATACTGAACAGACTATTACCAGATTTACTCAGGCTCCCACACCATCTCCATGAAAAGTAAAATTGCACAACTCTATTGGTAATCCATTAGTTTAGTCATCACGTGTTGTAGCTGTGTTAGGAGAGTTGCATGCTAGCCGTAGCTATCACTTTTCCTCCTGCTTAAGAATGTATAATGGAATGCAGGGGAGGCAATGTAGCCTCATTACCTCGTTGTGTGGAAAACCTGGAATCTGCTCAAGTTCATTTAAATTACTTATTTAAATTACTTTGCAACTTTAAATGATTTAAACAGTGCATTAAAAAAAGTACAAAAGAAATAAAATATATGGTTCTTACCCTGTAAACTGCTAAAATAGGTAGGGTAGACTAGAAAATGCCCCAGTTCAAGTTTCAGGTCTGGATTGTAATCTCAGCTCTGTTCCTACAAGTCATTAAAGTTGACAACACCTGAGTTTCCTCAGCTATAGCAGTAATATCTATTGCACTGATTGTTTTCTATTCTTCATCTTCACCAAATGTACCTAGCACCATATCTGCTCCTCACTGTAGCTTTGTCATGCGATGTACTTAGAGACTATATTCAAGCACATGCATATGTTAATGAAAATATGTCATAAAAGTGATAACTTTTTTCATAGTATTGAGAATTGAGCTCAGGGCTTCAAGTTTACAAGGCAGGAGCTCTACCACTTGAGTCACACTTCAGTTTCTCTAGTTATTATTGAGATAGGATCTTTATTCCCTATCCCACCAAGGCTAAGCTCCTTCTACATGTGTTTCATGTTACTGTGGATGACTAGTGCATGCCATCGCATTCAACTATTTTGTTTTCCTTGTAGCTGGGATAACAAAAGCATATCAACCATTAGTTGAGATGGAGTGTGACAGACTTGTCTGCCAGGGCTGGCCTCAAACTGAGATCCCTTGATCTCCACTTAGCTAGGATTACAGACTTGAGCCATCATGCACAGAAAATGCAATAAATGAAAATACAACTATAAAAAGAGAGGTTTTGAAAATGGAGAGGGCCAAATTTTGTACAAGGCTCAGAGAAACCATTATGAAAGAAACGAGATTCATACTGGACTTTGGGAAGTAGCAAGATAGAAGAGGGAAGGGAAACCATTTCAAGAGAAGCCTCAGCTGAGGTTATATGGTTTCAAGAGAATCAAAATTGAAGGATGTATACTTGGAACCTGCCATGTATTCTATTTTAAATTATATTTTGAAGGAAGAGGTAGGTAGGAGAGAGATGGGTGAGCATGTTGAAAGGGGTGACATTGATCAAGATAGGAGAGGATCACAAAGGCTCAATAGCTATGTGCATATAATCATATAAAATAATATTTATAGAAATGAGCTCTAAGAAATGGAAACAATAGAGTTTTTTTCTATGTTGCTATTTTTGTTTTCTTTATCTTTTGTCTTATTATTTTATCTGTTTGGGGGAGAGTAAAGAGGACACAGAAAGGGTGGGGAAAATGATAAATAAATGCAGGGGCAATACTCACTAAACAGTATGTTGAAAATGAACTATACAACTTGTGGGTGGGAAAAACTGGGAGGCAGCAAGAGAAGGGGTGACATTGTGCAAAAAAATGTACTCATTACCTGACATATAACTGTAACCCCTCTGTATATCACTTTTATGGTAACAATAAAAAATATTTTAAAGTCTCTAACAATGACCAAATATTTTACTACCTGAAATAATTTATTGTGATTCAAAATAAAAAGAAAAGATATGTTGTATTCATACACTGCTTCATTAAATGGCAACTCCTTTGTATAACTACTTAAAGATAATAATAAAAAAAATCTATTTTGGGTCCAGGTGCTGGTGGCTCATGCCTATAATTTTAGCTACTCAAGAGGTTGAAATCTGAGGATCACAGTTCCAAGCCAGCCCAGGCAGAAACATCAATGAGACTCTTACTCCAGTTAACTACCAAAAATTCGGAAGTACATCTGTGGCTCAAGTAGTAGAGTGCTAGCCTTGAGCAAAAAAGTTCAGGGACAGTGCCCAGGCCCTTAGTTCAAGCCCCAAGACCAGCACTATAGAAACATTGAGAGTTTTAAGCAATTTATCTCAAAATGTTACAGAATTTAAAGAATTTTACCAGTTGCCCTGTTACTGCTTAATGTTAGAACACCTACTTAGTACTTAAGAACCCTTATGTACCTTATCTTGAAATCTTGATTGGTGAGATTTGCGCAGCTTCTATTGGTTCTAGCTTAACTTAGACTTGTTGGAAATAAATTCTTTTAACAAAGTTGAGAATGGCATAATAGTGGAATAAGAGCAATAGGGTTTAGTAGGCTTTATAATATTGTTTTCACTTTATTAATGGTATCAATTTAGTTTTTTGTTGTTGTTTTTTGTTTTGTCAGTTGTGGGGCCTGAACTCTGGGCCTGGGCGCTGTCCCTGAGCTCTTCAGCTCAAGACTAGCACTCTACCACTTGAGCCACAGCGCCACTTCCGGCTCTTTCTGCTTATGTGGTGCTGAGGAATCGAACCCAGGGCCTCATGCATGCAAGGCAAGCACTTTACCACTGAGCCACCTTCCCAGACCAACAATTTAGTTTTTTTTAAAGAAAACTTTAGTATTCTTATAAACTGATTGTTACTAAATAGTGGTTGATGTTCTGGATACTTAAGCTGCAGAAAATGTGGAATATGAGTGATTAAATATTTGCCTCGAATATATATATATATATATACATATATATATGTACATATATAATTTTTAAGATTTCATTTTTATTTTCATAGAGATATATTTGGTTAATGAAATCTTAGCTTGGTCTTTATTGGGTTTGGTTTGTGTACTAGAACAATGATATTATTCTGAAGCAAATAAATCTATCACTTTTTTGTCAATAGTGAATCTACCACAGATACTTGTAATTTATCAAATTCTAAGATGCTTTTTGCTGTATAACTTCAATTTTGCAACAATTTTTTTGGTGAACAAATCATCTTAAGGTATTTATTAAATGCCTACTATATACAAAGCATATATACTCAGCAAGAGTAAGTGAAAAAGAGCAATATGATACAGACCCTAAAAGATTAAGTACTAACAAAATATACAAACAACTATAATATTATTATTAACTGCCATGACATTTGTGGGAATTCATATTACATAAAGCATTTTTTCCCTCTGTGCAATCCCCTTCAGTGCCAGTAGCCCACAGGTAGAGGCCAACCAATGGTTCAAGACCACAGATTGCTCTGGTATGGGACAGTATGAAAGGCCCAGGGGGGACGGGCCTACCAAAAATCCAATCCATGCATCAGAAAGCATTTTTGAGTGGCTGATAAAGGATTTTATAGAAGCAGGAGCATTTGACTAATTCACATAGCTTATAAGTGAATATTATTATAGCAGTTTAATGTAGAAATTCTGAAATGATAGCTTTCTCAATGCCAAAGATTTTATCATTTATAAATAGGAGAAATTATTCCAAAACAAGTAAATGATTAATATCTAAACATTACCACAAATACTAATGTACTTTTATAAATATTTTATGTATGATAGGTAATTGATGTTTTTATGTTTCTCAGGCCATGAATATTGTGGTCCCCTTCATGTTTAAATATGCTGTAGACAGCCTCAACCAGATGTCGGGAAACATGCTGAACCTGAGTGATGCACCAAATACAGTTGCAACCATGGCAACAGCAGTTCTGATTGGCTGTATGTGTGATTCTTTAATCTGTCTACAGGTGTTGACTTTCTCCAAGAAGGTTTCATCATATTTGAGCAGATGACCTTTTCACCATAAACACAACATAGCATTTTGGATGTTTATTATTTTATGTGAGATTTTTTGATATGCTTTTAAAAATTCTTTGTATATTTTGCTAAAAAATTTCATAATAGTATTTTCTACATTCTAGAAAATAATAATATAAAATAAGATATTAAATTTATAACAACCTTCAATAGGCTTTGTATAATATAGCCTTTCTAGTAAGGCTAGTTATTTTCTTGCTGATGTTGTTAGCTATTAAATAGAAATAGCTCAAGAATAGTACATTATGCTTTATTAAAATATTTTCATAGCCCTGACATAAAACTACAGTTTGAAAAGGGCAATATGAATACTGTGTGGCACTATTCATAAAAAAGAACGCTGTGAGACTTGGGAGGCATGAGTGGGGGCATGCTTTTAGTCAAAGTACTTGACTTTTCAGAATCTCAGTCTTATTTGTTATTTGAAAGAATTGAATTAGATCAAAAACCTTAACAGATATACACTTATCTGCAGTAAGGCCATATGGGCCATAATTTATTAAAGGTATTTTAATTAAGAAAAAAATCTTTCAACATGTAAAATGCAGTGGAAAAAAAACACTGGAAGGGACTCATGATGATGGAAAGGTTACTAATCATTAGAGTAGATGGATTTTAGGTGTTTTAGTGTAAATATCCTGTGTTACATCCAATGATTGAATTATTCATTGCACAAATACTTTTCTGAGTCCTTGCCATTTTACACTTCAACAATTCCATTTTTACACTCTTTTTTTAATTTATTGTTAGATGGTGTATCAAGAGCTGGAGCTGCCCTTTTTAATGAAATTAGAAATGCAGTATTTGGAAAAGTAGCCCAAAATTCAATCCGGAGAATAGCCAAAAATGTCTTTCTCCATCTTCACAACCTGGATCTGGGTTTCCACCTGAGCAGACAGACAGGTGCTTTATCTAAGGCTATTGACAGAGGAACAAGAGGTATCAGTTTTGTCCTGAGTGCCTTGGTATTTAATCTTCTCCCCATCGTGTTTGAGATGACTCTTGTCAGTAGTATTTTGGTAAGTAAGACATTTTTTTCATACTAAGCTTTTACCTTACATTTTCATTAACAGCAGTTGAAGATTTGAAACACTCATACACAACTAGGGGTTTGAAAGTAAAATTTCCTGATGCCAGAAAGATGATAGTTATATTTACAGTTTATTTTGCCACAGATTTCAAAGGACTGTCCAAATTATTTATCATGTTTTTATCGCAAAATAATTGTTTGTCTGTACACGCAGTAATTAACTAGTGCCTGCAAAGGTTTGGGTTTTTTTTGGGGTGGGGGGGAATACACAAATATCCTTTATTGGTGAAGAAATAGACTGCTTTCATTTATACAATGGAATGCTACTTGACAATAAGAAAAGTGAAGTATTGATACATGCAACAACATGGATAAAACTATTGTGTTACATAGAATATGCCACTCTCAAAGGCTACATGGTGTGATCCTGCAAGTAGGGCCTGAGGCTACAGGGACAGGAAATAATTCTGGAAAGGGATGGAAATGTTCTATATTTTGATTGTGGTGGTGGCTACAAAACTATGTTTTTATCAAAATCTATAGAACTATACACTAAAAACAGTGAAGGTTTGTTTTCGTTTTTGTTTTTTAGCAGAGCTTTATATATAAGACCTTGGACTGGCCGGGTGCCAGTGGCTCATGCCTGTAATCCCAGCTACTCAGGAGGCTGAGATCTGAGGATCATAGTTCAAAGCCAGCCTGGGCAGGAAAGTCATGAGACTCTTATTTCCAATAAACCACTAGAAAACTGAAAGTGGCACTGTGGCTCAAGCGGTAGAGCACTCGCCTTGAGCTGAAGAGCTTAGGGACAGTGCCTAGGCCCAGAGTTCAAGCGCCATGACCCACTAAATAAATAAATAAATAAATAAATAAATAAAAAGACCTTGGACTGATATGCTCAGATATATTGGTTTCTGTTAGCCACTCTATTTCATGTTTTATAGTTAAATGTGAGTATATGAATGTGTGTATGCACACATAGTAATTAGCATTTGATGGGAGTATAAATGGGACAAGTGCAGTGCAGTTTGACATCCTTTCTTTATTACCTAGAGAGGTTGTATAAGATACTCGATTTCTTGCCTTTTATTGATACATAGAACTAACCACCATACTTTTATAAATATCTTTTGAACTAAAATTTGTTGTTGTTACTCTAAGTGACAAGAACAATGACTGTTTCTCATTTCTTCTCCTGACTTCTTTTTCCAGTATTACAGATGTGGTGCCCAATTTGCCTTGGTAACCCTGGGAACACTCGGTGCATATACAGCCTTCACAGTTGCAATCACCCGGTGGAGGTATGATATCCCCCCGAGGCTAGTCAATGTTTAGAAGCTATGTTTTTATAACATCCATTTCATACTTGTGCAAATCTTTGTCTTACAGAACTAAATTTAGAATAGAAATGAACAAAGCAGATAATGATGCAGGTAACGCCGCTATAGATTCACTGCTGAATTATGAAACTGTGAAGGTAATACGTTTGATTATACTCTGTTTTGCCTTTACACTGCACTAGGATTTGTTCTGCCATTTACTTTAAAAGGAGCTATAACTTAGAACATCAGATTAGGATAGGATCTCTAGGTGTGATGGAAGGTTTCTTTTGCTTAGAAAATGCCCTGTTTTCCTTTTCAGTTTTTGTTTGGCAACCTCAGAAATTTTATCTTCTGCATTGACTTGTAAGTGATCATAAATATATCATTAGCATCTTGATTCAGAGTGAACATTAAGCTAATCAAGCTGACATGTCAGTTCTTGATCCTCTTCCTGTCTATCCCTCAGAGTACCTAGCATAGTGCTTTTCATAATTCTCAGGTTTTGTTTATTTTCCATTCTTCTCGTGTACAAAGCATTATACTGAGTGAAGAGAGTGGTAAAAATAACTACATTGTAATCCTTGCCCTCTCAGATTCTTACAGTGTATTGAGTTAAGTATGCAGATGACTAGACAAGACGACAAAATGTGGCAAGGGTAGTGGGGAGTGCAGTTCAGAGGATCAGGAAAAGACTTCCTAAAGGAAGTACCACTGAAGGTTTTTTAATTATGTAACTTCAGATTAGGCATTCAGTAAATATTAGTCGGACAAATTTTGCTGACTTTTGAAATACAATCCATTGTGGAAATGCAAAGTACAGGGTCACATGTAATTTTTTTTTTTTTTTGTCCATCGTGGGGCTTGAACTCTTGGCTTGGGTGCCGTACCTAAGCTCTTCAGCTCAAGGCAAGCACTCTACTGCTTGAGCCACAGTGCCACTTCCGGTTTTCTGGTGATATATTGGAGATAGGAGTCTCATGGACTTTCTTGCCCGGGCTCGCTTTGAACTGTGATCCTCAGATCTCCGCTTCCTGAGTAGCTAGGATTACAGGTGTGAGCCACTGGCACACAGCAAAAGTCATTTTTTTAAGATGGTGTCTGTAGTACAAAATTCTACCTAAGGGTAGGTACAGTGGCTCACTTATAATCACAGCTCCCCAGAAGGTGGAGATCAGGAAGATGATGGCTCAAGTCTAGCCCAGGTAAAAAAATTAGTAAGATTCCCTTCTGAACAAAGCAAACTATCTTCTCAACTATTTTCGGAGGTTGTAGAATAAGTAAGACCCTATCTGAAAAATAACCTAAAGCAGAAAGGGCTAGAAGTGTGACTCAAGTGTTGGAATACCTACCTAGCAAGCATGGAGCCCTCTATTCAAACTCCAGTACTGATCAAAAAAATGTATCTCTGTATGAAACCTGGTGAAAACTAACACTAAACATTGTTAAACAATATATGCCAATTATATTTGTTATTCCAATAATATTTATTATTTTAACAATTACTGTTTTATGTGTTTTACAGTATTTTAATAATGAAAAATATGAAGCACAAAGATATGATGGATTTTTGAAGAGTTATGAGAATGCTTCATTGAAAAGTACCTCTACTCTGGCTATGCTGAACTTTGGCCAAAGTGCTATTTTCAGTATTGGTTTAACGGCTATAATGGTGCTCGCCAGTCAGGGAATTGTGGCAGGTAATGGATGTGTGGTTATCACATTTATAGACTATGTAACTTAACTTTTATAAATAAAAATTAATGAAAGTAATGTGTGTTAAACTTAATGATAAAAGGATATTCAATAAAGTATTTTAGCACTTTTTGGAGTGCTTTCTCTTTTATATTAGAATGTATTTTCTTGATTGATAAGCACTAACACATCAAATGGGATTTCTGTTTATATGTGTCTACAATCTGATTCATGAGCAGCTTTTTTTTTAACATCTAGTCTCTTATAGACCTAGAAACCAACCTCATTAATTAATCCAAAGGACTAAAATATAGGCTGTTTTGTTTCTGGAATTACCAGTATCCTTATAATCTTTTATACATCCTTTTTCCATTTGGTAACATTCAAAAAGTAATATCTGTGTCTCTTTCTGTAAACCTCCCAACTCAATTAGAATGTATTTACTCACTGTTGTTAATATAAGACTTATTTTCGGTCCATTTGCTCCAATTGTTTAATGTATATGAATTTTTTTTTTTTTTTTTGTCGGTCATGGGGCCTGAACTCTAGGCCTGGGTGCTGTCCCTTAGCTCTTCAGATCAAGGCTAGCGCTCTACCACTTGAGCCACAGTGCCACGTCTGGCTTTTTCTGCTTATGTGGTGCTGAGGAATGAAACCCAGGGCCTCATGCATGCAAGGCAAGCACTCTACCACTGAGCCACCTTCCCAGCCCTTGTATATGTACTTTTTTTTTTTTTTTTGTCGATCGTGGGGGCTTGAACTCTGGGCCTGGGCGCTGTCCCTCAGCTCTTCAGCTCAAGGCGAGCGCTCTACCACTTGAACTACAGCGCCACTTCTGGTTTTCTGGTGGTTTATTGGAGATAGGAGTCTCACGGTCTCTCCTGCCCGGGCTGGCTTTGAACCGCGATCCTCAGATCTCAGCCTCCTGAGTAGCTAGGATTACAGGCGTGAGCCACCAGCGCCCGGCTTGTATATGTACTTTTATAAACATGTTTTATACTAGAAATAAACTATCGTTTATAGCTTAGAGACAAAAAGGAGAAAAATTTTAGCCTTTTTTATCCTTACTTACACCATTCTTTTTGTATTACATATAGTATATAGGTGAGCTTGTCCCACTCCACTTTACATATAGCAAGTTCCTTGTATTATCTAAATCATGGATTCAAATGCTTTGACTCCTGAGAACTGTTCTTTATGCATATTTTAAACTGTATTTCATAGTAGTAGGCTATAAAACTTTCTTGTCTTAAGACAGCTGGGAAGGTGTGTGGCATTAATCTAAAACAATTTTTCCTTCTGCTAATTGCATATTTAGGTACCCTTACAGTTGGAGATCTAGTAATGGTGAATGGACTACTTTTTCAGCTTTCATTACCCCTTAACTTCTTGGGAACAGTATATAGAGAAACTAGACAAGCACTCATAGATATGAACACCTTGTTTACTCTGCTCAAGGTAGACACCCGGATTAAAGTAAGTAATCTGTATAGTATCTTTTCAAAGTATGTGAGCCTATCCCATTACTATTGGATTATACTATTGGAGCCTTCTTATATCACCAAGTCATCAAAAGCATTTTCTATTGTAAGAAGTAGGGATGTCATGTGTATTAAATGGTTGTTAACATATAGTGTTAGCAGTTTATGTTATACCAGGGAACTAAATTTTGTTGAATTAACTTTCTACTTGAACTAAATTTACTTTTGCTAACAATAATATAGAATGTATGATTACTGTCTTTGTATTTTCTTCTCCAGTTTTTTCCTGCTCATCATTCCTGTTCCCATCCCCCCCTAAAAAAAGTTGGCTAGCAACCAAAACATTCAATATTTTTCCTCTTAGCAGTGAGAACTAAGAAAGACTTAAAAAGTATGCTTAGAAATGTTCTAATTCCACTTACATAAACCTACTCCTTTCCCATTATTTTTTCTGTGAATGTAAAAAAAATTGTCTGTGTGACTGTACTCAAGGTAACTTATAAAGTATTTGTTTGTTTTCTCTTCCCTACTAGGACAAAGAGATGGCATCTCCCCTTCAGATAACACCCCAGACAGCTACAGTAGCCTTTGATAATGTGCATTTTGAATACATTGAAGGACAGAAAGTCCTTAGTGGAGTATCTTTTGAAGTCCCTGCAGGAAAGAAAGTGGCCATTGTAGGAGGTAGTGGGTCAGGGTGGGTAATTTAGTTATTTATAAAATTCTGTTTTGATAATTCTGAACATCTTTTTCTTATCCTAGTAAAATAGCTATTCTGGTTTAAATAGAGACTTCAGAATGACAATGGGAGCTAAGTAATCTTTCTTCATGTTTAATTTCAGGAAAAGCACAATAGTGAGGTTGTTGTTTCGTTTTTATGAGCCTCAAAAAGGAAACATTTACCTTGCTGGTCAAAATATACAAGATGTAAGCCTGGAGAGCCTTCGGAGAGCCGTGGGAGTGGTACCTCAGGTATTTTGTGTTGGGTGTCCCAGAACATCCAACTGGAATAATTTGAAGCCCAATAGCATATACTAATGAAAGAGTAATATTAGGCCCTGCAAGTGAAATAACCTTACTAAGAAGAATTTTTTTTTAATAGAAGAGAAAAATCTTGAATGGAGAAACTGCATTAGAGGAAGATTTTTATGCCTAATGTTATAGCATAATAGAGTAGGAAGAACACAGACTAGAATCAGACTTTTGAATCAGACTTTGGTTCTAACCCTGTCTGTCTCCAAGACGATTCTGTGGCCTTGGGTCTCCATTTCCTAACCTCTGAAGTAAAGATAACATTTATCCTGTAAGATAGGATTATTGTTACAGACCACAGGTTTTATAAGTGCAGTATCTATCACAGTTGTTCAGAAAATGGGAACAAGTATTGTAATTTTGAAAGCTTTCAACATAGTAAATTTATAACTTCGAGAAAAATTGGCTGTTAATCTCACATGTATGCCTTGTTTACCATTGCATCTTCACTACTTACCGCATTCCCTGACCTATATAAACATTTAATAAAATATTTGCTAGTGACACTGGAGAGGAATGAATTCAAAGTAAGATATGAGAAGACAAGAAGTAGAGATAGTCTTTATAGGATGTGAGGTTCATTTTGTGTTGAAAACATATAGAGTATCTGGGAATGTAGCTTAATGGTACAATGTTTGCCTAGCATACGTGAGGCCCTAGATTCAGTCCCTAGTTGCACCTAGAAAAAGAAGAAGCCTTTTAGAGATTCATGGGAATTAGTTGCAGCTAGTATTATAAAGTTAATTTCTGGAATCAAATCCCTGGGAATACAGATCAAAATATCACTTTCTTAAAAATGAAGTGGTCAGACAGAGATATGTTGCTTGCAAAAGATCCCCACTTGAACCAACGTATGATACTTCACTGAGAATCTCAAACTTTAGTGGGTATGAGTCATTATTGAAATTGCAGTTCTGGTTATAGAGGGCAATGTGGACAGAAGCCTGCATTTTAAAATATATATCATAATGATTCTGATAGGTGGTTTGTGACTGTGTTTTAAGAAACACTAACCCACACTGTTTATCAACTGAACCATATTCTGGGCTGTAACTACATAGAATTCAATGTCTTCATTCCTATAACTAGATTCCTATCATTCTCTTAGGCTCTTTAATGGTTATTTTTATACTTTTGAAAAATAAAATATTTTATTCATAAAGGAAAAATATGCAAGGTCAACAAAAAAGATACTCAACCTCATTGAAGGCCTTAGATATGTAAATTAGCAATAGGAGATTATTTTTATCTATCAGTTTGATCAAGATTTTGAAATGGATACCCAGTTTGGGCAAGACTGTAAAATGGACAGTCTGTTGTCTTACTGGTGGAAGTATATGGCTGGTCCTCTTTCCCTTCTTCTCTTCCTCTGTCTCTCTCTAGTGATACTGGGTTTGAACTCAGTGATTTGTGCAGACACTCTACCATTTGAGCTATGACCCCCAACTCCAGCATATGGCTTTCTTGATAAACAAATTGGATCTATATATATATGAATATATATGTATATATATATATATGAGTTGCCTGCTTAGTAGTCATATTCTTTATCCTAATAATTCTACCTATAGGAAATTTTAGGAAGTCATTAAACAGATATATGAACAAGTCCTTATATACAAAGAGGTTTATTACAGCATTATTTATGATAGTAAAAGTTGGGCACAATGTAAATTTCTAGCAATAACTTAGTGGCTAAATGTCATCACAAGACTGTTATACAACCATTTATAAATAATATGCTTAAAGAATATTAAGAGTCATGAATATGTAGTTGTTGAATTTGGGAGCTGATGGATTTAATACAGTTTTATTTTTTCAATTTTTTTTTTTTTTGGTTGGTTGTGGGGCTTGAACTCTGGGCTTGGGCGCTGTCCCTGCGCTCTTCAGCTCAAGGTGAGCGCTCTACCTCTTGAGCCACAGCACCACTTCTGGTTTTCTAGTGGTTTATTGGAGATAAGAGTCTCACAGACTTTCCTGCCTGAGCTGGTTTTGAACCGGGATCCTCAGATCTCAGCCTCCTAAGTAGCTAGGATTACAGGCACGAGCCACGGGCACCTGGATTATTTTTTTAATTTATACATTTATTTTTTATTCATTTATTCATTTTGGGTCCGGTTGTGGGGCTTGAACTCTGGGCCTGGGCGCTATCCTTCAGCTCTTCAGCTCAAGGTTAGTGCTCTACCACTTGTGCCACAGCGCCACTTCTGGCTTTTTTCTTTTTCTTATGTGGTGCTAAGGAATCGAACCCAGGGCCTCATGTATGCAAGGCAAGCACTCTACCACTGAGCCACCTTCCCAGCTCCCTAATTTATAAATTTAATTGTGTACATTTAAGATATATATGTATATATACTGTCATGAGATTCATATAGATAATAAAATGATCTCACATACCTGCTCATTGTTCATATGTGGCAAGAGCAACTAAACTCATATCTAGCAAAAGTCATTATTTTTTTTTCCGCTTATGTGGTGCTGAGGAATCAAACCCAGGGCCTCATGCATGCAAGGCAAGCACTCTACCATGGGGCCACCTTTGCAGCCCAAAAGTCATTATTTTTTGAGACAGAATCTCAGTGTTTAGCCTTAGCTAGCCTCAGACTCAAACAGTCCTCCTTATTCTGCTTCCCAAGTGGTAGATTACAAGCATGTGCCATCATACCCAGCTAATTTTCACTCTGGCATTTTGAATTTTCATATTATTCAGTTCAGTTAATGCTTGTTAATTTTTCACAGAATATGAAGTATTTAAAATAGTTTCTATTTATGGAATTTTGAGTTCATGTTGTGTCATTTCAATGTGTTTATATATGTGGTATTAGTTCTTTGTTGTCTGTGCTTCAAGTTCAGTATCAAAGCTTCTCAAGAATAAAGGAAAACATTCAACTTCATTGATAACTAGGGAAATGCTTATTTGAACAGAAAGCACATCTCTAAAAGTAGCAGCAACTGAATATTGTTAATTCCTGGAGTTGCTGAAGATATGGAGAGCTGTCAACATGATGCCGTTTATCAAGAGTACTGCTACATTACTACCTGTTTCTGGAAGATAGTTGGGCAATACTCTCAAAGCCCAAGCACATACTTACCTTCTGACCCATCCGTATTCTAGGAATTCTTTGTATGGAAATTCCCAGATGTTCAAGTCACATATGTAAAATGATTTTTCCAACATTGTAGCAGCAAATATTAATGAAATTAATGTTCAGAACAAGAATGGATGAGTAAATTATGACATAGTATGAAATGTTCAAGGTTTCTGTAATTGACATGCAGAGTTTTTAAGATACAGGAAAAAGCAGTTTGTAATGGTCACACTCATGTTGGAAAAAAACATGTTTAGGCATATAAAGACATAAAGTCTGGAATTAGAACCGATTGAGCAGGTCATGGTGGTTCATGCCTGTAATCCCAGCACTGAGAAGGCTGAGGCAAGAGGATCATGAGTATGAAATTAGTCCAAATCACCCATGATGATTCACTTATAGGAAGATAAATGGAATGGTAGGGATAATGCTTGATCAAAGAGGCTATCATGGTTTATTCATTAAGACTTTATAATTATTTTAATGTTTGTAAACATACATACATACATACATACACATGTAAATCTACTTTAGGATGCTGTCCTCTTCCATAATACTATTTACTACAACCTCTTATATGGAAACATCAATGCTTCGCCTGAGGAAGTGCATGCAGTGGCAAAATTAGCTGGACTTCATGATGCAATTCTTCGAATGCCTTGTGGATATGACACCCAAGTAGGGGAACGAGGTCTCAAGCTTTCAGGTGAGCAAAGATTTTAAGCCTGCTCCCATTAGTATACTCTCTTCAAACAAAATTTTTAGAACAATTTTTATCATTAGTATATGTTTATATCACTGTTGATTTATAATACATCATCTTCATATTAAAGGATTGTTACTCACTTGGGAAAGTAGTAAGAGCTTATAGGGAGATAGTGAATAGTGTATCTCTTATAATTTCATAGGGAGGTTTTCAGTACTGTAGGCCTTATTATACTTGGTCCTGTTCATTTGCTTATACTTGTTAGCTCAGTGGTCAAGATTTGGAGGAGAGTTGTCTATTTTAGCATGAATATAATCTTACTAATAGACATAAAAATTTCCTTTTACAATTCAATAATTATTGTACAAGTTAAAATAAAATATTACTTAATGTACCAGATTAATTAACTGGCAGAGTTTGTTTGTTGAAAGTAACTGAAATTGAAGAATGCAAGTTTACTTTTCAGACATTATAATGTTCAGGGCTAACCAAAGAGGTGAAAAAGGACATAATCAACAAAGCACTACTATCTATATTTCCAAGTATAGTTTATGATTACCTTAGATCCACAGAAGTCTCAGATGAAAAAGAAAGGATTTTTTATTTTTATTTTTGTCGGTCATGGGGCTTGAACTCTGGGCCTGAGTGCTGTCCCTCAGCCCTTCAACCCAAGGCTAGCACTCACTTGAGCTATAGGGCCACTTGGGGTTTTCTGGTGGTTTATTGGAGATAAGAGTTACATGGACTTTCCTGCCTGTGCTGGCTTTGAACCTCGATCCTCAGATCTCAGCCTCCTGAGTAGCTAGGATTACAGGAGTGAGTCACCGGCACCCAGCTTTAAAATTTCATTTCATTAATTTTTTTTTATTTTTTGTCAGTCCTGGGGCTTGACCTGGAGGCCTGGGCTCTGTCTTTGAGCTCTTTTGCTCAAAGCTAGTACTCTACCACTTTGAGCCACAGTGCCACTTCAAGTTTTCTGGTGGTTACTTGGAGATAAGAGTCTCTCAGACTTTGCTGCCTACACTGGCTTTGAACTGTGATCCTCAGATCTCAACCTCCTAAGTAGCTAGGATTACAGGCATGAGCCACTAGCACCCAGCTTATTAAATTTATTTCATTAAATGTTTTCATTTTTAGGATATGAATATTTCCTAACTATATACTCCTGTATTTAGGAGTAATTCAAAATAAGTGTAGTAGGCTTATACATTGTGATAGGAAGAATATTAAAGTAGGAGTCAAATCTAGTCTATATTCTGCTGGAACCAGATTTGTGACCTTGAACAAGTTGTTTAATCTTTCTGAGCCTCTGTTTTAGTTTATAAAAATCAATTATGCTAGAGACCTAAAACAAATAAAGAAGAAGTAAAAGATACCAAGTATACCCTTAATTTGATGAATGCTGTGGAAACAATATGCTCCTCAAAAAAGATCCTTGGGAGAATACTGACTAAATGATACTTTAAAAAATATTGACATAAATTTAAATATTCATGGTTCATATCTTTAAGTTTTCCAGTTTTAGATCCTAAATTTGTTTTTAGCTTTATTGATTCCCCACTATTGAAATTTTTCTATCTGAAATTGTGAGAAGTCTATAATATAAAGTAACAAGCCAGGCACCCAACAAGCTGAGTGTGGTGGCACAAAACTGTCATGCCAGCTACACAAAAGGTTAAAATTGGGAGAATTGCAGTTGAAGGCCACCTGGGCAGAAAAGTTCACATCTTCAACTCAGTGGAAAAAGGTGGGCATGGTACCATACATGTCTCATCCCAGACAATCCCAGAGATTATTGTGTGGGTACAAACCCAGCAAAAAGCAAGACTCTTATCTCCAAATAGCCAGTTCAGATGGCGGAGTCATGTCTCAACAGTAGAAGTACACACACACACACACACACACACACACACACACACACACACACACACACTCGGAGTCATGTCTCAACAGTAGAAGTACACACACACACACACACACACACACACACACACACACACACACACACACACACACACACACACACACACTCGCCATGAAGTCAGATTGTAGTATTAATTTGTGTTCCGGGGAATATACTTTGTCAACTTAGACTCTACAACTCAGAAAAAATACTTAAAAAGAGCATAAGTAAATCTTAAAGGTATAACTTGGTAGTTATTATATAATATTTCTATACTATGTTTCTTTAAATGTTTTCTTTGCCAGGAGGAGAAAAGCAGAGAGTTGCAATTGCACGAGCCATTTTGAAGAACCCGCCAGTCATTGTCTATGATGAAGCCACGTCATCATTAGATTCAATTACTGAAGAGGTAAATGATTATCAAACTATAGTTTAGCTTTTCTCCTTAGAAGTTTTCTCAAAAGTGTGCATTAGTTTGTATTTTGAATGAACTTCTGTAGGAGGTTCTATAGAACAAAATGTCTAGCCCCTTTTCGCCAATATGGCAAATATTAATGGTAGATATGCCATGGTTTGTTGAGCTAGATATTATACTGTTGAATCTATTTGCAAACATGTCTCTGTTTGGCACTGTGTGACACCTTATGCTGTTGTTGCATTACCCTTGCATCTTGCAGCACTGTACATGTCGTCTAATACACTGTCAAAGAAGAGGGATTGATTCTCTCTTCCTGCTGCCGTTTAACACTCATTAATACAATATCTAACTCATTGTGACACAGTGTACACCATGAATGCCTTTTACTTATCAGGGACAATTCTTTGAGCATGCAGAACTGGTATCAATTTGTATTCATTTCACAGGGAGTGTTATGAAACACCGAGATGTTGTGACATTTATGTCATGATGCTACCCTAGCAACTACAGTGCACTTTACATGCATTTGTTACATTAAAAGTCTCAGTAGTGATATAATTTCGTAAACAGATCCCCTCAATCTAGCACTGAAGATAGTTGTCAGTTGCCTACCTTTTGACTTAGTACTTTTAATGTATAAACCTAATGTTAAAGAATTAAATCATCTTTCAGCTTTACCGACGATATAACATTTGCATGTTTAGTAAAGTTTCAGTATACTTTTAAACACTATGTTTAAAACTGTAATTTCAAAATGAATTGGTTATCATGAGGATGTGTTATAATTCAAGTGAACCTTCATCAGGACCAGATCCCATTCATCAGAGGAAAACTTATTTATAAGAACTTATACCTAAAAATGTATCATACTGGGTGGGGGGATTGGGTGAGGGGGCAGGGGGGGGGAGGCTGGGAAGGGATGTGAAGGGTAAACAAAGGAGGAGGCTGCAATGCTTGATAAGAAATGTACTCATTATCTTGCCCATGTAATTGTAACCCCTCTGTACAGTATGTTCACAAAAAATAAAAATTATAATTAAAAAAAATGTATCATACTACCACAAATTAAAATTTCTACCCACAGTCTTTGAGTTATATAGCATTATTATGCCAGTGAACATTCCTTACTAAAACTTCATAGAGAACCTACCAAGTGAGTTACCAGAAGATTTGAGAAGTTTGAATGGGCCTTTTTAAGATTTTCTGAATAAGAAGCCTCCACAAAGATCCTAGTGTTTCTTAATGTTGGCCCTGCACTTTTATTTCAGCATAAACTAATTGTACAAGATTTCACTATGACAAATCCATACATGCATACAACACACCATAACTAAACCCTTCTCCCACTAAAACCTTCTTCCTTTTCCCCTTTCTTAGATAATTGCAGTAGATTTCATTATTCTATTTTCTTTTGAAAAAATTTTATTGTTATTGTAAAGATGATGTACAGAGGAATTAGTCACAAGTCAGGTAAAGAGTTATTTCTTTTTGGACAGTGTCACCCCTTCCCTCAGTCTCTCCCAGTTTTTCCCTCCTGTCCTTACCCACAAGTTGTACAGTTCACTTTCAATAGTGTCTATGAGTACTACTGCTGAATTTGTTCACCCTTCTATTTTCATTATACATATATAAAATGTGTGTGTTTATGTATGTATGTATATATAATGTATTTTGTCACATTCATCCACCATCAACCTTTCCTTTTCCTTCTCTTGGTTGCCTCCACTTGGTTCCTTTTATAATCGTGTCATTAATTACTACCATTGTTATTGTTGCTTAAGTCTGCATTCCTCATATGAACAAAAACATGTGATATTTGTGTTTTAGAGCTTGACTTGCCTTGAGTTTCTTCATCCTTCTGCAGTGATATATCATCTTTTTAAAATTTTTTTCTGTATAAATTGTTTTTATTATTATATCTTTAAGTAGTTGTACAAAGAAGTTCCCATTCTACAAAACAGTATATGAATATAAGGTGTCTGACAACATTGTCACCCATCGCTCTTAACCCATCCCTTCTCCCACTTTTCTTTTTTAATTGAGAGTAGATGATTACATAAATTTCACATATTTCACAATATTGTGGAATAATGATACTTAAAGTCACAAACAAATTTTAACCTTCACAAGGCAAATTGTCATTATCATGGTCTATAGTTTGTGAATTCTATGAGCTTTGACAATACAAGTTATTTCTGCCACATCAGGTGATGATTACATTTCTTTCCTTTTGCTTAGTGTAGGCTTTTCCCTCTTCCCCTCTCATTCCTCCCTTCCCATCACTGTCTTTGGGTTGTTTAGTTCTTTTTTTTTTATGTCCAGTGCAGCTGATGGGTAATATCTTTTTATGGCTAAATAATACTTCATTTTATACATGTACCACAATTTCTTTTTCCATTCTTCTTGTTGCCCTTGTTGGGCAACAAAGCTGATTCCATAGCTTGGCCATTGTAAATAGTGTAATAAACAAGGAGATACCTATTGGTATCTCTATGATTTGTTTACTTACATTCCTTCAGACGTATGCTTAAGAGATGATAAACTACGATGGTATGGTAGTTCCATCCTTCGTTTTTTAAGGCGCTTTCATATTCATTTCAATAATAGCTGCACTGATTTACATTCCCACCAGTAGGGTATAAGGGATCTTTTTTTCCTGCATCTTTGACGGCATTTGTTGTTTGATTCTTTAATGGTAGGGGTAAAATGGAATCTCTGTCATTTTGATCTGTATTTCATCTATGTATTGGCCATTTGTATTTCTTCTTCTAGTAACTGTCTATTCATGTGACCATTGGATTATTTGTTCTTTTAATATTTAATTCCTGGAACTCCTTATATATTCTGAATATTAATCCTTTGTCTGCAGAGGTTTTCACTTACTCTGTGCATTGTCTCTTCATTCTAGTAATTGTTCCCTTTGATATATAACGAAGATTTTGAATCTACTTCAATCCCATTGATCAATTCTTGCTCTTATTTCCTGGGCGATTGGATTCCTTTTCATAAAGTGGTTGCCACTTTTATTTTCCTGTTGTAGTTTCAAAGTTTCAGGTCTTTGATTAAGGTGTATGATCCATTTTAGTTAGGTATGGTAGCTTACACCAGTACTTATAGAGTGTATGAATAAAAGCTGGATTTGGAGGTACACATTGTATAAACAGGAGTCTTGTAGTCCAGGCTGGCCCAGGCATGAATAGGAGAATCTATCTGAAAAATAATGAAAGTAAAAAGGACTAAGGCATGTAACTGGAAGAGTCCCTACTTAGCAAGCACAAGGCCTGAGATCAAACCCCAGAACCTCAAAATGTTTATGTAAGCTCTGTGGTCTGTTTTCAATTGATTTCGTGATACTGTTTGCTTTCACATTCCATTCGCTTGAAATAACTTTTTCTATCCTCTCACTTTAGTCTATGTTTACGTTTGCCAGAGAAGTGGGCAATAAATGACTGGGTCTTTTTTTTTTATCTATCTCACCAGTCTTTGCCTTATGATTGCAGAATTGAGGCTGTTAACATTTAGTGTTCTTATTGAAAGGTATGCAGTGATTCTTGCCATTTTGTTCATTTTATAATGCTTGAAACTTAGCTTATCTTTATCATCTGCATGTCCTTTTTTTTTTCTTGGCCTGGGCGCTATCCCTGAGCTCCTTTTGCTCAAGGCTAGCACTCTACCACTTGAGCCATACCACCACTTCCAGCTTTTTCTGTGATTAATTGGAGATAAGAGTCTCAGGACTTTGTTGCCTGGGCTGGCTTCAGACCATGATCCTCAGATCTCAACATCCTGAGTAGCTAGGATTACAGGCATGAGCCCCCAGCACCTGACTTGCATGTCCTTTTTAATTTCATTGTTCATTCTTCTGATCATTCTCTGAGATTTCACCCACTTCACAAGCATTGGATTCCATTGTATAGCTATTGATTCTTGGAGGTATCGTGTTGTGTTGTTTTCTTGTATTATTTTGTGGGATTTTTTTATTTGTAGCCACCTGTTCAGCTATAAGTTTTCATCTCTTGTGTCCTTTCATTTGTAATACTCTCAATGCTTAGGCAAGGCTGAGTTGGTAGCCATGTTATAGCATAGCTTCTCATCTCCGGATTGGGGTATATGGCTTAGAAATCAAACATTCACCCACAATGCACAGTACGCTTGGTCCACTCACTCAGGGAGAACAAGGCTAACTGAAAGAGTGCCACTGCTTGGTCCCTTTCTGAAGATGTAGAGTTGGGTGCCTTTAGTACCCCATCTTCACCTTCCTTTATTCCTAAATGGTTTACTTGATTCCCAAACTAACATAGTAAAATATGAGATCTTCTTAGGTAACTATCTTCTCTCAGTAATTTATACATTTAATAAGTAAAATGTTTAGAATTTTTTGTAGGAAGTAAGTGAGAATATTTCTATCTCCCTTCCACACTTCTATTTTCATTTAGCTAACTGAACTTACCTAGATTTCCAAGTACAGCCAAAGATAAAAGAGAGAGAGAAAGAGAGAGAGAAAGAGAGAGAGAGAGAGAAGAGAGAGATACACCTCTGTCTGTTTGTCTGTCTGCCTGCCTGCCTGCCTGTCTGTCTGTCTGTCGGTCCGTCCTGGAGCTTCAACTCAGGGCTTGCTTGGGTGATGTCCCAGAGATTTTTACTCAAGGCTAATACTCTACCACTTGAACCTCAACTCCATTTCTGGCATTTTGGTGGTTTAGTGGAGATATGAGTCTCACAGACTATGCTGCCCAGGCTGGCTTCGTAGTGCAGTCCTCAGTTCTCAGCCCCCAGAGTAGCTAGGATTACAGGTGTAAGCCACTGGTGCTAAGCAATACATCTCTCTTGTATTGTACAGACAGTAAGTGAAAGGCATTTTAGAGAGTGCATTAAGAGGTTGGGATGCTTTTGAGAAAAGACACTGTCTTGAGTTAAAAATAAACATGTTTTTGTCTCCCTTCCTGTCATCTGAATGAGGTTTAGCTAAGGAAAAGCAAGTATCCCTACCTTTCTTTGGATTGCCTTGAATTTCTCTTGAGTCCTATCACTTGAGTCCCTGTTAGTTTTAGATTTGTGCTCATCATATCTGGTTATTCTCATGGCATTAATGGAGTTACTTGTTTGTGTGAACAGAAAATAACTACTTTTTCCTTGCCTATTTAGAGAACTGTTGCCTATGTTTTTCGGTGGCTGTGTACTAATAATTACTTTTTCGGTTTTATTTTCTGCTTTTTACTTATTTTTAGTAAGTATTAAAGGTGAAGTATTTGGTTCAGGAATAAAGTTTATATATTAAAATACTAATTGACATTTCCTGTGTTTCTTTAGGAAAAGTTTGGTTAATATATATCTGCCTAATGAGTATCTATTTTTTTTCTCCTACTCTTCTTGTCAAACTTGCAGACTATTCTTGGTGCCATGAGGGATATGGTCAAACACAGAACTTCTATTTTCATTGCACATAGATTATCAACAGTGGTTGATGCAGATGAAATAATTGTCTTGGATCAGGTAAGAGATTATCTTTAAAAGTTAGTCTGAAAAACATTGGAAATTTTTAGATATAAGAAACTTAAATATTATTTCTAATGTACAGAGTATGTTTTTTAGAAGAGGTAAAGTCTTGATAAAATTCTATTTGGGGACCCATTTGTAGGAAATAATACAATCACATTAACTTTATTAAAGTATTGAAAGCAAAGTTTGGCCAGGAAAGCATTAAAAAGTCTACATGGATAGAAGCAGGTTTTCAATGATTCATCTATAAAATAATTTTTCTGCATTCATTTTTGCTGAGTGGAATCTTTTCTTAATGTCTTTGCTATATTATCTGTTTTCATCTTCTAATAGTGCACATACCCTTAGTGTCTAAAAGAAAATTAGCATAAAATAAAGAGGTCATTTTCTAACATAGCCATTTTATTTTACATTTTTCCTTATGGGGAAAGTAAGAAAATAAGCTTATTTTATCTTCAGAGATTGATACATATGACCACAAGCTTTCTCATGCTACTGCCTCTATGAACTTTGCCAGCAGCTTATTTCCACCATCACCACTCCTTTCCTCATCAGGAGATAACTGGAGGCTTCTTCTGTGGAGAGACAATACCATGACAATACCAGCTGAGACAATACCAGTTGAGAAGGTCATTTTCATGCACATACAGCTAGTATTTAGCCTTTTAATGCTCCATTCTTAAGTGTTAGTGTTAGTAAACCTCTAAAGCAAATAGCAAAAAAGGAGCTCAATAGCAAATGTAGTCAATGCAGAAAACATTAAAAAAAAAACTATCATATCCTCAGAAAACATGGAAAATACAGCATTTCTAAAATCAGTACAGATGCTATTTAAAAATAGTAAAGGAAACCCAGAGTGGTGTCTCACACCTGTAATCCAACTACTCAGAAGGTTGAGATTGGGAAGATTGTGGTTTGAGGTTAGCCCAGGGAAAATGTTCATAAGACCACTTCTCAATCAATAGTTGGGCACAATGATGTGTGCCTGTCTCACAGATACATAGATGGCTGAGATTAGGAGGATTATGATTGCAAACCAGTTTGGGAAAAATAGTTTACATGACTCCATCTCAATGGAAGATGGTGGATGTGGTGGCACACCTGTCATCCAGCTGTTGTAGGAAATGTAAAATAGGAGCGCGGTCCAAGCATGGGCCTACGCCAGAAGTAAGATCTTATCTCAAAATAACCAGCGCTAGAGGGGCTGGGGGTATGCACAATGGTAGAACATCTTCCCAGCAGGCACAATGCCCTGAGTTAAATCACAAATACTGTCATAAAAGAAGAGGAAAGGAAACATATATGGCATGACTTCCAGAATATAGGGTTAAATGAAAATAAATATTGAGTAAAAGGAGTATATAGTATGCTGGCTTTTGCCAGGAGAATGGACAGAAAATAGTATGTGTACACGTGTCTGTTTATACTAAAAGAAACTCCAAAGAATAAGCTATAAACTAAAACAGCTACCTTCAGGATGGGGTGCAAAAAAGGGTTCCAAGAGATAGGGAAGGGAATACACTTGTTTATACTGTATTTGTGTCTTATATGTTCAAAAATAAAATTAAGCCAACCAATATGGAAAACAGTTGGATACAAAGAAGACAAAACTGCCTATCAAATTCATAATCACTGAGAAGAAAAACAATGAATCCCAGTAATTCTTGAACATTTTTCCAATTGTATAGCCTTAGTGGAATATAAGGGCAAAAATAATTCAAAGACAAATCAAACTTAGTTTACTTTTTTGGTCACGGTATTTTCAAGCTAACCATTTTGAAACTACTTTTTATATATGTTAAAATTGAACCTATGAGTAAATACACTGATGGCATTAGAGATATCCCTTTGAAGAAGATAGATACAAATATGTAATGATCAAAGAAGAAGAGGAATGTGATGATGTTATAGTGGAACAGAATTATTAGTATGAATTCATAGTATTTTAAACATGATCTCTATTCAGTGGAATGGCCTACAAGCAGTAAAAATCTGGTAGCAATGTGAATACCTGGCACAGAGATTTGAGGCACTGTATGACTGTTTCTCACCAAAAGGAACCAAGCCTCCTTGGAGAAATAACTGACACCAAATCTGGGACAGAGAAACTAATGAACACATGTCACAAGGACACAGAAACCATTTTGAATGGGCTCCCACTGGCCAAATTTGGGATAATTAGAGCAGCAAAAAGAATAATGACACTAATGAATTCTTACACATTGAATACAAAATTAATTTCTGTATCCATAACAATACTTTTACAACAAAAAAAGTGCTTAGCAGAAAAGGAAAGCCCATCTTTAAGAATTCCAACAGACACATGGAGAAAGAATGGTAATTTTAGAAAAATCGGACTTTGCAACCACCATTATAATAATTGATTCAGATAAGGATCATCACTGGTTGATAAAACCGTATGGTGAAAAGCTATTGGGGAATAGAATGTTCATACGTTTTGCAAGTACAACTCATAGATAACATTAATTCCAAAGAGAAAATGTATCTTTAAATAGAGAAATCTGATAGATACCATTAACCAAGTGATCAAACTTAATACCAATTATGGAACAAATTAACTTCCTGTACCTCCTTAAGTAACTGAGAGCACACGTATTTGTGACTGAAGCATTTAGCCTGGATCTAGTCATCAGTACCAACTGGACTAATACAAACTGAAGGGCATTCTTCCAAAAATAGGCCTGGACATTTCAGAATGTCAGTGTCACCCACAGACAGAGGCAAAGAAACTGTTATAAAGTCAGGGTATTGATCGTGACTGGATTCTTGATGGGAAAAAATAAAGGTCATTATTGGGATGAACTTTGATTATGAACTATGTTAGATAGACTGTCACATCATAGCTAAGTTTCTTGGATGTGCTATAGTTATATTCCAGTCATGAAGGAGAATGTCCTTGTTTTTAGGACATAGATACTAATGAAACATTTAAAGGTAAAGTATTACAGGTGTCTGCAAGTCATTCTCAAATGGCTATGCAAAAATAGTGGGGGGAGGTATACACAAGGCAAGTATGGAAAAAAAAACAGTTGCTAAACTAGGAAAACTATTTATAATTGTTCACTTTTGGAGATTTCTAATAGTAAGATACAAAACCAAGGAAATGAAAAAAAGGCTGTTAGTAAGTCTAAGAATATATAAGTATATGAAGAAAAAAAAGGAAAAATAAAAAAAATATAAGAAAAATACATAAAATCCAAGTTTCTACATAGCTCAATAGCAAATAAATATGTTTACATAGCCATAATAGACACTAAATCAGAATTTTATTTGATGTTATTATGAAAGTAGGGAAATGGGGCAGAGGGATTGTGAAATAGTAGAAAGTACTTGTAAAGATTTTATCATTAGGAGTACCAAAAATACTGACAAAATTCCTTTTCTATCCCACCATGTTTAACAGTAGCTGGCAAAAGAGATTGGTTGTAAATCAGAGTTTGGAATGTATACACAGACCAGTACAGTGTTGGGTTTAATAGTAACTTCTGGAACAAGTAAATTTTGTATTTTCATGAAATCATTTTTATTTCAAAGTACACATATATATTTTAAGATATTACTCTACATCCCTGTACAAACTATTGCTTTTGATTTGAATTTTTACTGGTTATAGAAAAATCACCATTTTATATTTTTAACCTTCCCTTCAAAGTGAAAAATAAGGGTTGGGAATGTGGCTTAGTGGTAGAGTGCTTGCCTAGCATGCATGAAGCCCTTGGTTCGATTCTTCAGCACCATATAAACATAAAAAGCCAGAAGTGGCGCTCTGACTCAAGTGATAGAGTGCTAGCCTTGGGCAAAAAGAAGCTCAGGAGGACAGTACCCAAGCCACAGGACTGGCAAAAAAAGGAAGGAAGGGAGGGAGGGAGGGAGAGAGGGAGGGAGGGGATGATCATTGAATTTTCAATGTTTACTGGGGGCTGGAAGTTCCACAGTGATGAAAACATTTGTACTTCAGTTTTCCTCGCTTATACTATAGATATGGAATTGTGACAAGAATTTTACTTTAATGAACACAAATTTTTCAAAATCCTTCAGTTATAAAGTATTACCATTTTTAGTTATGCTAGCTAAATAACCTTTCTCTGTGTTTACTTTTTAGGGTAAAGTAGCTGAACGTGGTACCCACTACAATTTGCTTGCTAACTCTAGCAGTATCTATTCAGAAATGTGGCATACTCAGAGCAGCCGTATGAATAACTATGGTAACTCCAAATGGAATGCACAGAAAGAGAATATGTCCAAGGAGGAAGAAAGGAAGAAACTACAAGAAGAAATTGTCAATAGTGTGAAAGGCTGTGGAAACTGTTCCTGCTAAGTTATATGAATCTTTCTTCCTCCATCCCTCTCTCTCCCCTTCCTCTCTTTCTTTCTCCCTCCTCCCCTCTCCTCTTTCTTTCTTACCACTCATTTGCACTGAAGCAGAATTGTTTAATTAAAATCATACATTCCCACTTGCTATAATCCTTTTAAGTAGGACTTTATTTTTAGGTTTTGAGTTTTATACCTTTCCGTCTAACATGGCATCTGTATCCCCAAATTATTTTCTTGCTATAGCCCTAGTTGTGCTCAATACATAAATTTTGTTACATTTTTACTTTACTCTGTTGTTCTTTTTGAAGTTCTGACATCCATTTGATACCCATAACCAGATGAATCAGATTGATGTTCAAATTTTTGCAGTTTTTAAAAACCCCTTTATGCTGACAATTTGTAGAAAAGGGTCATTTTCTTAAAACTGAAGCAAAAGAGAACAGGATACATTTATTGTCTCTTCTCTATCCCCTCCAATTGAAATACTTTATTGATGTGAAAATTAGTTTATGAACAAATTTAAGGTTAGGACTTATCAGAAATAGGCATTTATAATTTTGATGTCTTCAAAAATACCTATGCTTACAGTTTTTTAAGTGTTTCCAGTTATATACTTTTTAGAGGGAACATTTTTATTTTCATGTTGAGGTAGAGAAACAAAGTGTTGCAAACCAAATTTATGCATTTTTTTCTTTACATACTTATAAACCCAGGTGTCATTTGAGAGTTGCTATATTGGGAGTGATCTGAAAGTTTAGGAACTTAATGGCCTTTTCTAATTTCCGTCTTAGATGCACTGATTTTTGCATCTGGAGTTATACAAACAAATAAGTAGAATGTTATGCATGTACCCACATATGGGTATGTACCTGCTCATGAATGTTTATTAATTGCTGTCCACTTAAACATTATTGAAAATGTTTGATAAATAAGAAAGATTAAATATATACATACATATGTATACATACACAGGCACTCTTTAAATGACCTAGACTCTCAATCAGTATTGACACTTCAGAATTCCTTCATTATAAGGTCTTCTACTTTTTTCACTAATTTAATGAGTTCCTTTAAGCCTGATGAAACAAGGAGCCTACGCAATATAGTCAAGTTCCACCTGAAATAAAAAGAAAACAAACCTTACCTGCTAGGATTATTTAGATGGCATGTACCTGTAGCTCAAGGAGCTTAGGAAGCTGAGCCGGGAGGATCACTGAGCCCAGGAGTTTGAGGCCAGTCTAGTGACATCCTGTCTCTTACAAATTAAGGGAAAAAAAGAAATTACACATTTCTTTTTTCAATGTGAATTTGCTTTGTTTGACAGTAATCATTCAGTCTGAAAACTTACATATCTCATGAATTAATGGCCCCATAACCATAAGTAATGAGTTTTCTCAGGAAAAGTACTCAAATATTTGTTTTATTGGTTTATGGTTTTAATATGTGTTAAGTGATTTATTAATATAGGAAAGATTAATAGTTTTTTATTTGTTGACATTGTTGGATAGCTATCTGAATTTGTCTAACAGAAGTGAATACTTTTGTTACATAAAGGCAATTTGATAAGTAACTTGAGGCCAGTATTTTATATATAGCCTTTGATACTAGAATAAGTGATGTGACATGTTGAAATTAACACTGAGGTGCATAATCTGCAAAATGAGGTGGTTTTGCTTTTTGACATATCTTATTGTGAAGCCATAGGTATTATTGCTAGTCTAAAGAGAAAACAGCACTTCCACTGAACAAAGCAGTTACATTATTAGAAAGGGTAAAACCTGGGTAGAAATTTTGTTTCTACATTAATGCCTTCTATACATATCCAGTGATGCTGGTAAGAAAAAGATTTAGTTTAGTTGCATAAACAAGTGGGTAAAAATTAAGTAATCATTACTGATAATTCCACTTGAAGTGTTTATAGTGTTGTTAAAAGCAAGCAATTTTGTGATGCAGGGGAACATTGAGTTCAAGAAGGTAGAACTGTTTTCAAGGTAGGAATAATTTTCCCCACTAAGACATTTTGAAGCTGTTTTTCTTTTCATGTGATTGCAGGTGGTCCTTTAGGCCACTGTGGTCATTAACCTGTATTTTCAGCTAATAAAAAGTAAAACTACCTGAAAAACACAGTTATTATAGAGGCCATAACTACATCTTAAGGACATTTCTCTTAAAACCAAAAACCACGTCATATTAACATGGTTCTGTGCAGAGAAATAATAGATTAGTTGAAAGAAAAGCTTTTTAGGATGATTCACTCATAGGAAATGCCAAAAAAGGAACATTTAATTATAATGTACTAATTTTACATTACAATATTACATGCTCACACAAAAGGACAATGTGTATAAATTTTTTAATTCAGTGTTGGAACAATGTTTTTAATGTATCAGGATGAATAAGCTACAGTTTTAGAATTTGAGCTCTGAAAATGAACTAAGATGATAGGGATGTAATTCTTGTACTCCTTTATTTTAAAGATTGGAACATTTACTTTCTAAAGTAATCCAAGTTTACAGAAATTAAGTTGAAACCAAGGTAAAGTGGGTTGGGATTGAAATGGACTAGGTTCCATTCTGGAGGTTTGTCACATGGAAATATTTTGATGAGCGGATGAGCTCATTTGGAAGTCTTTGGACAGCTCAAGTCAGGGTCACTAGGGATAATCACAGAGTCCTTCACATTTGGACATGAACAAGCTCACAAAATGCATTTCCTTTTCCTCTGCAGGGATGTGTACTTTTTACATACCTTAAGATTGTTATTTTGTCTTATTCTTCGATGTTGACAAAGGTCACTTTGTGAAAATGGTTGTTTCTAAAATATGTTTTGTTTAAAAAGGTATTTAAAAATTGTGTGATTCAAAACTTCACTCAGAGACATTGGGAAAAGATGTGTGATTCCTTGTTTTTGGAACCCTTTGTTCTGTTAATGCTGCCATATTGCTCCTATCTTTCCTACTTGTTCAGTGTGTCAGCAAGTAGCCATTTTTGCCAGTGTATGTTCATAATTCTCTTACCTTATAACTTTATTTCAGGATATGCTGTTGTGAATTTGTAGCTGAAAGTATTTAAATAAGTTTGCAATTGCAGTTTCTTAAATTATTAGGACGTCTCATTTTTTCTTTCTTTGAATATATACATTTTTGAATGTAAGCTTTATGGTCAATCACAATATTAAGCCAAATAACCTGTATAAAACTGGTTAAGACAAAACAACTGAACCAAGGAATCCCTTACCACAGTTCTGTTGTTTATAGCAACCTGTGTGGATAATCATTACTAAATAAACATATGTCTTTGTGATTAGAAATGGGTATTCAATTGAAATTACTCTTTTCTGAACTGTCTAGGGGAAAGCTGATACTTCATCACAATTCTCAAAAATTAGATCATTAATAGACACCTGGGAGTATGGTCCTGCAGCCTTATGCAGAAGATGGAAACTTGGCATTGGTTCAGAGAGAACGTAATTATTTGTGGAGCTCATAATGCAGGCAAACTGGTAGCAATTATAGTGATTTCATTTAGCATTATGCTGTCATATTTTTGATGGCCAACCAGTGAAAGGGTCCTAGTTTCTTAGTTACCCACAGTTCTAATGATTAGGAAGGAAGCCTTTGGCTGAAGAAAAGTCCTATCTAAAAACCGTGCATTAAACTAGCATCCCAATTCACTAGGTAGAGTTGGAAATGAAGTGTGTGTTCTAATTAAAAAGAGGCTGGAACATTTTTATTGAAAAATGTCAGTAGATTGTTTCCATATTTCCTGTTCTCATACAGCTACAGTGAAAATGTTGCTCACTGAAGACTTTGTGTTGTTTCATAAAATCATAGGATTTGGATTGGAAAGAGTTGAAGGGTCATTTAGTACAATTTCCTCATAATGCAAATGAGGAAGTTGAACTTCAGGAGAAGTCACTGAGCTCGCTAGAGGCCTACTTAGCTAGAGGCCTACTTAGGATGAAACCCCTGGCTTCTGACACCCTCCTCCTATGCAGCACCATATTCCCATTCAGAAGTTACATTACAAAAGAAATTTAAGGGCAAGACTTCTAGAATAATGAACTGAGGAGCTCAATAGACCCTCTCCTCTACAAAGCAACAATTTAATTGGTTTAAAAACAAGGTTGATTTAGAAAAGGCAATCATTTAAAGCTGCTGAAATTGTCTTCAGGGCATACAGGAAATGAAACATTTATTCAAGTCAATCTATTAAATCTTGGCAAGAGCAGCAAGAGACTGGCCTTTGAGAAACAACCTGATCCATATCCTCCACACTCATAAGGCCAGACTTGAGTGCTTTGTGCAGAAAGCTTTAACTAAGGTGTTCTGTTCTGAGCATCTGGGTGAAGATGTGAAGAGAGGACTCACTCTTCCCCCAGCTCCCAGCCAGGCATTACGATTTCACCCTGGCAAGTAGATTTGCCTACATTTCTCATCTACCACCCTGCCCCTTCCCCTTAGGTGTGTCTTAATTCATTTTTTGTTGCTATAACAGAATACTGGAGACAAGCTAATTTATAAAGAATAGAAGTTTACACTGGGCACTGATGGCTTATGCCTGCAACCCTACCTACTCAGGAGACAGATCTGAGGATCTTGGTTCAAAGCCAGCCCAAGCAGGAAAGTCTATGTCTCTTATCTCCAATTAAGCACTAAAAAAGTGGAAGTGGAGCTGTGGCGCAAGTGGTAGAGGGCTAGCACTGAGCAGAAAAACAGACAGCACCCAGGTCCTGAGTTCAAGCCCCAGGACAGGCACAAAGAAAAACAAATTTACATGGATATAGTTCTAAAAGCTAGGAAGCCCAATAGCATGGTGCTGGCACCAGCTCATCATCCGGTGAAGACATTTGCTGCATGATAATGTGGTGGAAGTCATCACATGGTAAGGCAGAGCAAGTATGCTAGTTCAGGTGTCTTTTTTCTGATAAAGGCATTCATACCATCATGGGACCCCACCCCCATGATTTCATTGAATCTAACCTCTCAAAGGTTCCACTTCCAAATACCATTAACATATGAACTTAGGGATTAATTTTCCAATACAGTGAGAGTATACAGGAACCTAATTTTTCTTCTCTAGTTTGCTTGTAGATTGGAGATTGGAATCAAAGAAGGAACTGGTAAACACTAGGGATTTCTACCTCACTGCTCGAGAGTAGAGGGCTTGTCTCATTCCTGAGAAAGTTGGTCCAGGCCTCACCTGCAGTTTGCAGGTGCTGAGTTTCTGCTTGAGCAAAAACATAAGAACATAGAGATCCATGGCTTTGCCTGCAACATGACTTTCTTTGGAACAGGATGGAGAACTCCCTTAGCAAGGTCATTGTCAAAAGTGATGGAGATCTTGGTAGGGTTCAATTAGGAGCAACTGGCATAAGCAAAATAGCTTAGCAGCCAGAAGTTTAATCGAAAGATACAACAAAGGGAGCCAAGAGGAACAGCCACTTCAGAGTTGAAAGAGCTGTAAGCATGTATTAGGTGCAGTGCACCCACTTAGGACAAACAGAGAAGAATATGCAGCAGTCTTGAAAGGATTTTCCCTGTGCATGCAGACCCATGACACCAAAAGCCTCACTTGACACAAGGAGTTTAAACACAATCTTTGGCCAAACTGACAGAACAATAAGCCAAAGGTAGTCTAGAGGTGATTCCTAGGAGCATAAGCTTCAGAATAAAATCACACACACACACACACACACACACACACACACACACACACATATCTCTAGCAATGTGGAAGACTGCATGTATGCCACAAGATAGGCTTTCTTTTTTTTATATCAAACTTTTTTTATTGTGAAAATACTGTACAGAGGGGTTACAATTACATGGGCAAGATAATGAGTACATTTCTTATCAAGCATTGTAGCCTCCTCCTTTGTTTCCCCTTTCCAACCCTTCCCATCCTCCCCCAGCTCCCCCACCCAATCCTTCCCGCCCCCCCTACCAAGTTCATTTTCAACATAACGACTTGTACATCTCATTGTTGCAATGGGTCCACCTGTATCCCTATTTAAACGATTTGTTTTTCCCCTTCCCCTCCACAAATTAAACCGACATCAAATACAGTGAAAGCAGGGGTTACACTGTGGGGGAGAGACATACAAAGCAACAAAGAAATAATCTTATAAATGTGTTAGAAACAATTGCATGAAAGAAAAAAAAATTTAAGTACATATCTTAGGGTTCATTTCCCTAACATCACTTTATCTGACCTTTTCTGCTTGACTCAGACATACACTAGATAGTGCAAATAAGGGAAACCATGGGAACTATGTTTCTTTGGGCCTGGCTTACTTCACTTAATATAATTTTTTTCCAAGCCTTTCCATTTCCTAACAAATGGGGCAATGTCATTCTTTCTGATGGAGGCATAGAATTCCATTGTGTATATATACCACATTTTCTTGATCCATTCATCTACTGAGGGGCATCTGGGTTGGTTCCATATCTTACCTATAGTAAATAGTGCTGCAATAAACATCATCGTGCTGGTAGCTTTAGTAGGGCCTTGTTTGTGATCATTTGGGTAAATGCCCAAAAGTGGGATTGCTCGGTCATAGAGGAACTCTATGTGGAGTCTTTTGAGGAACATCCATACTGTTTTCCAAAGTGGTTGAACAAGTTTACACTCCCACCAACAATGCAGTAGGGTTCCCTTCTGTCCACATCCCCTCCAGCATCTGTTGTCATTAGATTTCTTGATTATAGCCATTCTAACTGGAGTGAGGTGGTATCTCAATGTTGTTTTGATTTGCATTTCTTTTATGGCTAGGGAGGTTGAACATTTCTTCATGTGTCTATTGGCCATCAAGGTAGGCTTTCTTAATCAGAGAGTGAATCTCCAAGTTACCAGTCTCTGGTGAACAGGAGTCAATGATAAATTCCCTGAACTATTGATCTCAGCCTCCAAGCACACATGTATTCAATCATAGAAGGTAAAAATTTTGCGAATAAGTGTTTGTGCCCACCCAAGGGCAACCCCAGGGAAGCTGAATTAAGAATAGAGGGAATACCAGGCTGCCCACTGCCAGGGAAATAACCTAGCAAACTACAAATCCCCCAAGAGAAAAGGATCAGTATACAGAATTGCCATAGGATGATAATCTAAAACGTTCATTCCACTCACAACAAAAAAGTACAAGACATAACAAGGAAACAGAAAAGTGACCCAAATGGGGGGGGGGCGCGGGGGGGAGGGAAGAAGCCTTGCTGTAGTGGAGCTCCAGATTGTGGATGTAGCAAATGAAAGATTTTCTAACAAAGATTTATATGTGTGTTATATGTATATAGATATATGGAAAAGGAAAGTAAGTTCTTGAATTTTTGGTACAATAACTGAAATGAGAAATTCACCACAGGGATTCAGTAATGTATTTCAGCTGGTAGAAGAAAAAATCTGAAACCACATGGTAAATCAATAGAGATTATGCAGCCTGAAAAATAAAAAATAAAAATTACCTCAGAGAAATGTGGAACACAATTAAGCATCCCAACATGCATAGTGGGAGTACCAGAGAGAAAGGACAAACTAAATTCTAAGACATAAAAAAAAAACAAGAAAATTACAAAAGAGTACTATAAATTAAACACTGGAGGCTCATGCCTGTAAGCCGAGCTACTTAGCAGGCTGAAATCTAAGGATCAAAGTTCAAAGCCAACCTTGGGCAGACAAGTCCACCATATTCTGATCTCCAACAAACCAGCAAAAAGAAGTGAAGCCATAAGCCGAGTGAGTGCAAAAAATTAGATAGCTTAAATTACCAAATAAATTAATAGACACAAACTATCACAAACTTAAGTGTAATAAAGCCAGCCATTATAGTAAAATATAGGAGTAGATAAGTCTGAGATTACTTGTACATTGTGATGTACTATACATATGAACAGACTGTTATCCTAGTTAATGAAGCAGAGGCCTAATTTTGTTGTTTCAACTTTTCCATATGGTTTGGGGAGCTAGGTAGAGGTACCTTACAAATATTTCTTTAGTCCAAATAAATTACTAAAATAAGTGTTTAGTTTGAATTTAATTAGGAATTAATAAGGTGCCAATATATCAGAAACTGGAAAATACAGAATAGATGCTGTTAATTTATATGCTCAACGTGGCAGTTGATTTGGCCAGGTTGTTAATTCTTTCAACCAAAGTTAGGTCAGATAACCTCTCCTGAGTTTTCAAAAATCTGACTCTGACTGGGCATCGTGACACACCTGTAATCCCAGCACATGGGAGGCTGACAGTAGGATGGTGCATTAGAAGCCAATATGCGCTACATAGCAAGACCCTTTCTCAAAAAGCAACAACATA